ATTGAGATGCAAATCTGCTTTTAGAAAACCGTTTATCATATCTAACTTACATTGCAGTGTTCTGACTTTTTCCTTAATTTCAGGAAGTCTTTACACTACAGCGCCTGCAAGTACAGAATTTTTAAAACAAATAACAAACGGTGATAACGAGGATCAATAAATATATGTATATATAGAAAAAAGAGGATTTAGTTTATTTATATAATGAATGATTTATTATTTTTAAAAAATCTCCTGCCTATACATATATTGAGATGCTCGATTAAAACTATTAAAAGGCAAACGAATTTAGCAAATTTAATTTCATTATGATAAATGTCTATTGGTACTACGCTCAATAAAATGCGGACAATGTGTGCTTTATCTTTTATAAACTATCTAATATTTATTTAGCAAAGTCAAATGCATAATGTTATTAAATAAATTATAAATTTTATTCATCTTATTTAGAGAAATGAACCCTTTCTCAATAGTGAATAAAACATTTTTTTATTTAGATAATATCGGTACAAATTGCAATTATCTTAAAACTATTATTTCTATTACACATTGTTATTTTCTCTTTAAACATTAAAGAAATAATAAAATATATTAAATCTTGCGTATTCATCACAAATTACGACCGACATCTATCTTCTGTAGATACGATCTCTTTCTCATATACAATCTCTTTCTCTTTCTCTCTTCATGTTAGAAAAATCAAATCAGATTACATAATAAATAGACATTTTAGCTGTGTTAACTCAAATATAACCGTAAAATAAAAATATCTAAATAATCATTAAATACGTTTTATGAATTTATGGGAAAATCTTTTGTTAAATTATTAAGTTCCATTAAACAATAATATTACAATATAAAAGCATTATATAATAACATTATAAATAAAACATTATAAAAACATTATAAATAAAGATTATGCATTCGCGGGTTTCCTCCATGTCCAGATCCATTCTTGGAATGCCAACGTTTCGTGAACCTTACAGTCCACTTCATCAGACTGCTCCTCGCCCTGATGAAGTGGATTGCAAGGTTCACGAAACATTGGCATTCCAAAAATGGATCTGGACACGGAGGAAACCCGCGAAACGCATAATCTTTATATAGAAAACATCCGTGGAAGTCTCAAGAATATTATCAAATATTAATATAAAGAATAT